AATCATGAGGTTTTGAAGTGGTTGTGTACTCAAATGTTTAAAAATGGAAAAAAGCAGTCCAAGAATCTAATGGTTCTAGAAATGGAATCTCTCTCTCCCTGCTAGAGGAAATCAGTCAGTCCTCAAGTCTAAGTGCTTCCACATTGATTTCTGGGCTGCATATTTCCTTCACGTATTATTTGATCACTCTTACATTTTCAAAAATGAATTGAATTATATCTCAACATTGAAATATTGCAGGATTAAGCATGAATATCTGGATGTGGGGGGCCATCCTATCACATCAGATGGTCTGGAAGTCTAGGCCAGTCTTCCTCCCAACAGCCTGGACCTGAATAGGTGCTGCCATCTTTCGGCAGGACCTTCCATTTTGCAGTTCTCACAGTCCACACCTACCCATCCTTGGAGCTTTAGGTTGTCTGACTGACACTTGTTAACATTTGTGTTTGAAAGTTATGAATTATAGAAATCCTTCCTTCCAGTCAGAATTACTCATGCTTCATTCTGCAGTTTTCAGCTCCTTGGTTGTTGTCCATTTCTTTCTTTCTCATTGGTACAATTACCTGTATGAATGACTGTCTCCTTCATACCATCATAAGTTACCTGAGGACAGGGACGTATGGAATTTATGTCTGGATTTCCATAATTCCTCACTAGTGTTTTGCAGAGAGTAAGCACTCACTGACTAGTTAAATGCCTTTTTTATAGTTTGTATTGAAAAAATGTAGATTTATGCAATAATTAGTAACTTTATTTTTCAAAATACTATTTTCATACATTTAAACAAGTATTGGCATTCCATTCTTAAAGGGAAAATGTCAGTATCCATGATTATTCTTCTAAGTGAATATAGTTATACAAGCATACATGAGAATTCCACCCTTAGAATTACAGAGCAGTGTAGATAAAAGAACCTAGGCTTTCAAATCTGTTAGACTTGCATTATACACACAGATCTCAAGTTATTCATCTTGATAAACCTTAGTTTCACGACCTTTAAAATGAAAATATGATTAGGTATGTCATACATTTATTGTGTGAAGGAAATGAAATGCACCAAAAATTCCAACTATTTCTGGTACATAGTAAATGCTTAAAACGCCTATCACACTGAAAAGAGATACCATCAACTCTGCAAAAACTTTGTCTTGGTTTTGATGTTCATTGTGAAATATTTCATATCATGAAAATGAGGTGGAAATGGAAGAAAAACCTTGAAAATCTACAAGTGTACCCTTTGGCTAAATTAGACTGAGACATTTTAGATGTTATTGTAGCCTGTTGACTAACTGAAAAAAAACCCAAACCAAAACATTTTCTTCATCTTTAGGCATTTATTTCTTGATGTAAAGATAGAATGGTGTGCTATTTCAATACAAAAACAAGTAAAAGGGGCAGCTATTTCTTGACTCATCAAAACTTTGGGAACAGGATTTCTTTTGCCAAAATCAGTCTGGGTAGAGCAGGGAGCAGTGTTCTATGATCAGGCATAGAACTTACCCATGGATACGCTCAGAGTTTGGTCAGCTAGGGGAGGCAGCCACTTTCAGAGGCCCCTGGCCAGTGAGAATCCTAAATGGTGTGTACTGGACTACAGAGGGTAAGAAAGGAGCTGAGAAGTCATACCACTTACTTTCTATTCTCTCATTAACTCCAACGGTGCCTATTGGACACTAACTGTATGTCCAGGTTGGTGCTAAACCTGTATGCATAGTCATCCATTTAATCCACACTGCACCCCTGTGAGGTAGGGATGGTTATTTTCTGTATTTTACTTGGAGAACAGGAGGGAATCCCCTTCCTACAGCTGCTGTTGACAGAATGCAGACTTATGCAATGGTGAGTAACTTTATTATTTTTGAAATAATATTGAATATATTTGAATATTTGAATAATATTTTGAAACATTATTTCAATTATATTCAAACATGCATTGGTATCTAATTCGTGAAGAGAAAATACCAGTATCCATGATTATTCTTCTAAGTCAGTATGTCTACACACTCATACATGTGAAATCCACTACTGAGGCTTATAACAGACTCAATAGTTAAACTCAGCCCTGGGTCTCCTGCATTAATTCTGCTTAGAAGTGTAGAAATCCTTCAGTGGATTCATCCAAACTTTCTTGGATGACAGCACTAGTCTCCAAATTAATCACTCCAATTTTCCACTCTAACTCTATTCTCTACCCAGCAACAGACTGCATGACTTAAAACAGTACTTGGATCCTAGCATTCACCTCTTATAAATGCTTCAATGGCATCTGATTACCCTTTGGACGAAGTTTAAATCTTCTGTGGCTTTGAAGGCCCTCTATTATCTGTCCCTCTGCATTTCCTACCACCTCTTCTGTCTCACACTTTATACTCAAGTCATTAAGAAATTCTTAACATTTCTCAATAGGTCAATGTCTCTCTTATTTCTCGACCTTAAAGTACGGTAGTTTCTCCTCCATATACTTTTGATTAATCCCTACCTTTCCTTCAGATATCAACTTAAATAACACTCCATTCATAGAACTTTCTTACTCCCAAAGGGCAGCTCTTCCATATGGGGTACTGGCAAGACAGCTCCAGTCCATTTACTGTCTGCACAATCTTTTGCTAATAGAAAATATATGTCTGCCAAACTAAACACTGGGGCCACAGACTTCTCTAGTCTCCACTTTCTCTAAACGGATTGCCCTCCTATTGACTGGATGAAAAGGTGGAGGAGAGGAGATGGTAATTATTTACAGTAGGTCCAATCTGTTTCCTTATAAAGACCTATGGAGAGGACCCTGGCAACAAATTTTGGAGACTTTAGCATGTCAGGTACTTAGCACCTTTTTGCCTTTCATTGGGGGCACCAGTTATCAACTGTAGAACTACAGAAAAGTTCTCTCACAACATGTCATTATATTTATGAAGTGTCTACTCCTTATATGATATATGAGGGTAAGGGCCATCTCTCTTTCTATAGACAATATTTTTACCATCTGCCATAGTGCCAGGTACACAGGACATGCTCAATAAATATATGTTGAATGAAACTTAGAGGAGTGAAATGACTGGTCCAAAATCATAAGCCCTAGTTAGCAGCATAGTTCCTGATTTTAGTAATCTTGTATAATAGCTCTAAAAACTAAATGTATTATGAATATTTATCTTCCTGGTTAGTGACAACATCCTGAAAAGCTTAGTTTTACTCCAGGTAATATAGACTCAGTAGTTTTATAATAAAACATTTAGCAAATGTACAGCACACGTGCTTAATTTTAATTACGGAAGAAAATATTCTCTAGTGTGCCTTTTTAAAAAGATCTAGGAAAGCTGGAAAATAAATAACAAATAATAAAGTTTTGAAAAACATAACTTACCTCCACGCCCAAAATTCCCAATCTCATTTGGGCCACTATTGCTATTGTTGACTGGCAAGCTTGTGGCTGGCCACGAATCAGCAAGCCATGGATAATTGGGATCGCCAGCATTTAGAAGACCTGGACGGCTAAAACAGAAATTAAAAGGAAATCAACCAGTGGAGCTCAATCAGACACTTGGACACCTGTCTCATGCACTAAAATGAATTGAGAAATTTAAGAAGATTTTAATTCACTTCAAATTAAAACATGTAGGGTCTCAAGAATTAAGGAACTTCAGCAGTTCACTAAGGCTATATATAGACCACCCCTGTCAGTGGAAGCAGAGGAGTGCTGCCCGGGATTCTGCTGACATCCAAATGAATTCAGTCATCTGCCCTGAAAACGGGTAGGAATCTGTAACATAGCAGGATCCCGAAACAAGGTCTGGTGATAAATTGGCACCTCAAGGGAACAATTGCTCAGAGTGACTGCTCAGTATCAGCCACTTCCAGGACTTTGGGCGATTGCTTCCTCGATTCCTGCAGCCCCCATATTTATCTGTCCCCTGTAGGCTGTAACCCCTGTTATAAGCCCTCATGCCTGATTTAGACACAGGAAACTTGAGGGAAATTAAGGAACAGTATTTATACAGTTCCATCAATAGCACATTTCCAAGTTCTCTAAATTGCAAAATATTAGGGGTATATTAAATTTTTTTTAGGTAATAAAAGATCCACTGTGATCTGATCCATCATGTGCATGGGGTCTACAAAAAAAACTTCCTTCACGTCATATTTAATAAAGAATTCCCATCTTTATTATAAAAGAGGGGATTCTGATTCCTTTCCAGATTATTAGCATATTTACAAAGAAATGGCAACATCTATAATCATTGTACTTTTTTTTTGATAGACGCTTTCTGGTACAACCCCTAAGAGAAACATGTGTTTCTATGGAAACTGCAATAAGAAGATTCAACTGCTTTCTTGCTACATCCAGTAGCTCTCATTAGACCTAATCTCTTTTTGCTAAAATATTGATTAAATGGGAGATTGGAAGTTATTACCAGCGCCTAATTACAATCTCCATATTGGCAAAGGGAAAATAGATGAGGATATATGGGTTTGTTATCAGCTTTTATCAATTTCAATTGAGTATCCAAAGTTGTGGAATCCAGTTCTATCAATCCACAGCCTATTCATCATCCATGAATCATTTACTTTGTGATCGATTATGTGTAATTGTTCACTCACAGCAATTTAGCGAGAGCCAATAAGGAGTCTTAAACAACAGCAACTTCATTTGCTAATGTCTAATTAATGCAATAAACATCCTGCTAACAAATGAACACATTCCTTGTGATATTTACTACTAATTTCTTCAGGGGCATCTGGGAGATATGAAACATCTGGACTTGATTCCTCTAAAGTGCACAACAGATAGATCATTAAACCTTGTGGTAAGTCATTTAATTCCTCCTAGAATTCTCAGACTTATAAGTGATCGTTTATTATAATAATAGCCGCTTACTGTAGAGTTTCCCCAGTCCTGATTAAAAATAATAATAAAAAAAATCCCTTAGCATACCTTCCATTGCTCATGAGTCCTCCATCTCCTCTTTGAAATGTAACTGTAAAAAAAAGAAAGACACACACACACAAGTAGTCAATATTAATTACGATTAATAACAACTACATATTGGCCCTTAGTGTAGGACTGATGCCTCTGGGAATTTTAACAAAATATAATTAACATAATTCTACAGAGAGTAAAAAGCAATGGTATGGCCCAGAGCAAAGCCATCATTTGCCTCAATTTTACTAAGATATTTTAAAATTCTTCAAGCTAAATGTATGGTTAAGTCAAAGCGGCAACTTGTATTTGAGGTCAAAAATGGTTACCATTGGTATATATATAGTGGTATTGGAAGATCTATATGCATTAATGTGAAATTATCAAATCAGGACTTTTAATCTTAAATGGGTATCCTAATTTAGAAGGCATAATGCAAAATGCACATACTAGAAATTGAAACAGGACAGTTTAAACTGATAATATCATCCTTCCAATGAAACAAGTGAAACAGGTATTGATTGACGACATATTCCTGACCTTCACAGACACTTTACGGACGCTGATAGGCACTCTAAGTTGAACAACTACAATTACAATAGATGTGAACTGTAATTAATAGAGAACAACGTATTGAGTACTTTGTTTCATCATCCAATCCTCGTGAAAATGAAACTTTCAAATAATTGATACTGAATATGTTCCAATCGTATGTAACGATTACAAAACTCAAGTCCTTTATAAAACTGTGAAACTTATTAATAATACCCATAAGCATCCAGTAGAGCCACAGGCTGGAGAATCCACTCCTTCCACTCACCAGATTCCATTCCACAAAACCAACAACATGAAAGTGGGTTTCATGGATGGGCCAAAGAACATAAATATCAGTTCATGTCCATTACCCCTTCTCCAAAACTTTTGCAGTCAAATATATTTGGAAATCAAAATGTTTCAGATCTGAGAAAGGTAATATGATGCATACTCCACAGAGAGTCTAAGGCAGCAGAGATATTCAAAGTTATTTAATATTTTGCAGTGAAATGTGAATATTCATGGTTAGTGGGATAAAATTTATAAATAGTTTCATATTAGTTTGGGTCAAATTTGCCACCAGAACTGAACTAGAAAATCGTGGAAAAAATTTGGTGTTTAGAAGTTTATGGATTTCACAATTGCACGTATGACCAAAACTAACACGGATTAACTAAACCAATCACTGAGGAGGAAGCAAAAAATACCATTTCTGAGACGTGAGCCCAACATATCCTATCTTTGGAAGACATTGATTATATTTACTATGACTTCTTTACTCAATGAGTAAAGGTAAAAACAGATGAAAATTTTAAGAAAGGATGCATATTTTAAATAAACTAAGGACATTGCTACTTAAAGTATACACATAGTAAATACTTTTTAATTTGAATAATCTCTCCATAATTTATCTGTCCCTCACGTTTGCACTGTTAAATATGATCACTCTTTAAATTTTGTAAATTCCCAAATGCAGTTCCCCAGTCCCCTTCCTAAGGTCATCTAATGACGTGTCTCTCATGACATCATAATCAGCTGATATAATAATTCCAGGGGTCCATCAGGACTTTGTGACGCAGTGTTTTTAGGAACATCTTGCTGGCACCTGAAGTACACTGCCTTATCAATTTTTCAGGTAACATCTCAAACGCATTATCAAACAATTTTGACATAACTTTTGCACCTGCCCAGGACAGGCTATGGACAGCTCCTCAGAGAAAATCAAAGAATACTGTCATTACTCTGCTTCCTGATGGCTCACTTCAGTGCTGGGAAACAGGAATCAGCAGTGTGTCCACACCACATTGAGTCCCTTTAATAACTGCTTTTAACAACAATAACAACAACAACAAGAATTAATCTGAACCAATTAATGAAAAAAATTGAGCATTGAAGGTATTAAATAAAGGCTTGATTAGAGGAAAAAACCCACAAAATGTGAAAACAGTACAGCTAATTAGCTTTCCGTCGGATCTGACTTTCTAGTTATGCGGTTTTGTTAATGGACTACTAAGCGATTGTTTTACTGCACTAAAAGAGAGTTAAGATAATATTGCGAAAATTATTGTGAATATGCAAATTAGCAGGCGCACACCTCTGATCATGCTGTTTAGAAGACGTGGGGAGAAGCTAAGTATTTCTCCCTAATTTAGACGCTCTTTTCTCCCCACCCAAACTTTCTGTTACTGCCAGAGCAATAAATGCTATTAGAAAAAGGAGGACAACTGAAGCAGAGGCATGAAAATTGAGTTGTGCTTAACTTTTACATCCTAAGCAAGGGTAAATTCTTCAAAGGCTATATCTCTGCACATCAACTATACAAAGGCAAAAATACACAGTACATCATGAAAATACAAGACTAACTTAAAACGGCCTATAGACACCATTTGGTGTACATGAGAATCTTCCATTTTGTATGTTTCTATCAGAAAAAAAAGTAAGAAAGAAAGAAAACACCCTTGTCCTAATAAAGTTGCGTAGTTGTCTTTAAACTAAGGAAGAGAAGAGGGCACTTTTTAAAGTTTTCTTCTTACCCCATGCTCTAAAACTTTTAGATTTGTTCCATTTAGAATAGTAAACCAAAAGTAATTGAGTTCCATTAGACCATGAGATTAAAAGCAGACGAGAAATAAGGATGAACCATTAGAACTCCTAAAGTGGTAGTCACATTTGGTGTTTTGATCAGCGATTTTTGCACAGAGAGAGAGAAACATACAAATAAATGCCACACAAAATTGAAAGCTGTTTTGAAAAAGCTTTTCAACACTGCAAAGAGACGTTGAACTACCTTGAAGCTGAAAGCAAGAGAGTGAAGGAATGGGTAGGTGGTTGGATAATCTTGCTCTAGTCATGATTTTGATAATCCCAGTGTGGTAACTTTGTGCTTATCAGACATAAATCTGAAATAACTGTGAATCTTTACCAGAAGTTTCTGCTAGCATCTAAAATTAAGAAGTTCAGGGAGCAACGTATAGAAGTTTTTAGCTAAAACTAACCGAATAGTGTTAAGGTTTCCAAAATGTTCTACAGACACCACAAACATAAATGTTTCAGAATTGCATTAAATATTTTGAGTTTATTGCAACATTTGCAAAGGATGTAAGGTAAAGAGATTTTGCAAGTTTATATCATATACAAAGTACCTCTACTATTATAGGGCAGGATTAATCCTAATCTCATGCCTGCTGGAATTGAGAAGGAAAGGAAACATAACTACGTCGTAAATTGACATTCTGAGGTGAGGAAGGTTTCACAGAGCCTATCTCCACTGGACCACATTTTCCTACTCCAAATGGAACTTTAACGTTGCCAGCCAACCCTCATTCCCTTTCCTGATAAGCAATTTTTCAAACATGAATGTAGATTAATCCTCTTTTAATAAGCATTAGCTCAGCCCAGATAATCAGAGTATAAAAATTCCATCAAATCTTAAACTGTCTTTGGACAGTTTTGTCAAATAAATTATGTTTCACCAACCGTTTTAAAACCTATGCATGAAGTGTTTAGCATTTCATAATCTGCTCACTCATTAAATTGTTTATATTTACTGAGATTCATAAAATCTGTTATCCTCAGAGGTAATATTCATAAAATAGAACTCACCCTTTTAAAAGTGGAAATATGTTTACTTTTATTAAAAAGTTGACGACAAAAACTTTGAATAGAAAAATGAACAATGTAAGTTTAAAAAGGGTTATGTATCCTTCAAGAGGATTATAATACAGATATATATTAGATATATTTCTATAAAATATAGCTATATGGAATCCTCATGAAAATGAAAGCTATCTAGCTTTTTTCTCAGACTTATGCAGTTCGTTTTTCTATTCACAAACACTGTTATATATATGATCATTTTCTCTAGATTCAAAATGATCTAATATTTTCCATATTGTCTGCCCAAATCTCTTTACAATTTGATTTCACCCTATAACAAGTCAGGTAGTGAATTCTTCTAGTGGCCAGGAACCTCATATGCAGTGACAAGTAGAGTATTAGTGTTCAATGAAGAATAAGATAAATAACACTGCATGTTGCTCCAGAAAAGTATCCAATGATTTCACGTGGAAAATGAAATATGAGGACATCTTTTTTGTTCCAGCACCCTTCTTTGTGCCACATGCAAACCAGTGGTGAATGTGTTTGTGTCTGAAGAATTTGAATAATTAAAGTATAAATATGAAAAAATAAAATAGGAAGCTAGTGGTAATTCTGGCTTTGGGAAATCTCTACTTTCTGCTGCGTAAAGAAGTAAAACATTCAGGCCAAATCCTCCTCTCAGATCATTTAAATATTTAAATTTTCATTGGATTCTCAATAGTTGCTGTTGCAAGCTAAGATGTTAATCTACAGGTGTTCTATGATAAATATGTTAAATCCTTTGATACATAAGAAAAATATCAACACTGAGCAGCATGGGTTTTTCCCTTTCTTCTAACCATTCAAATTTAATTTTCTACAGGATGCAGAGTCAAAGACTAGCCACAACAAAAGGCAGTGGGTTAGTTTTTGCCTACACAGGGAGAGTGGAAGACATCTTGCAGAGATTTATACGTCTCTCCATTAGTTAAAATCTTTCCTATTCTATCTCTAGTGGTTAAGAAGAAACCTGGAATGGAAGAGGAAAAAGAGAGTGCTGAAATCAAGTTTCACCTACTTTACAATTCTGCTTGGGGTCAGTCTAACTTTATTAGATGTAAGTCTCTTAATATATGTAAATTACATCAGATGTTTAAGTGTAATCCAAGATCACAACTGGGTTTTGAAATAAACGAAGTATCTTATGTTACAAATTAATTTAAATACTGATCCTAAGGTAGACTTTTTGTTCACTTGGAAAAAAATTATTGATGCTACATGAATCAATAATAAAGTTTTGAGACTATTTAGACATTACCATGTAGTGAAAATGTGAGGCTCTTCATCCTGTGAGTAAAATCACATTGTTTTAACTTTACTGGGTTTAGTTTACATAGTTGTAAAATTCGTAAGATTCCCAGGGAAATTTTTATGAAAACCAAAATATAAACAGAACCAGTACAAGTACAGTATATTTTCTTTAATTTTTATAACACGCTTCAGAGAAAAATAGCCCCATACGAAATCTCTGGGCTCTTAAAATGGATCATTAGCTCATACATGAAATATCAGAAATTTAAGCATATGATAAATACAGAATCCACTAATTATTCTCACTTAAAATCCCCATATTCTCTAAGTTGTATAAGGACAAGAATATGAAAACTTTAAAAGGTAGAAGACAGGCTACTTATGGAGGGAAGTCTGTGGAAAACGTCACCAAGTCAGATATGCAATGCTAAGAACCTATGATTTGGATTTTCATTTGCTTCTCGTATGGATGAAAAGAACAGCAGTTGCTGGAAGGCAAATTACTAGCTGAAGGTGAATCCACTCTGAGAGTCAGCCATCTATCAATTAAGAATAAAGGTTTTGAAAGGCTGCTCTCTGGCTTGGCCTTATTCCAAAATGTTTGAAGGGCATAGCACCTTCTGAGTTAGCAGTTCTACAAGCAGACGGAGATCAATCACAATGAGAAATGATAATAGGAAACGGAGTATTCTTGTCAAGCTCAAAGACCAACAGATATTTTCAAATTAAATTTACAGGTTTTGCAAAGGACTGCTGTTAAGAAAAAAGGAGAAGAAGAAAAAATAAGTCTGTCTGATGTACTTTTAGTAAAAGCACAAACCCGGTAATTGTGAGAGCCCTGTTGTTTATAAGGAGTCAGTGAATGAAGTATGGAGAGTGAAAATGCAGCATTCCAAATGTGGGTCTCTTAACACTTTGCACTGAAGTGACCAGCAGAGTCAATCTTTTACTATTGTAACTGAAGTCAAGCAAAGGGATAAACACAAAATAGCCCTTGAATTAAATCAGTTCTGCCTTACGTTTTCTATGATTTATATGAGTGTGTCACAGATGAAACGTAACAAGGTGATTGGTTAAACAGATGGATTGATAGACAATACTTTTGAAGAATGAAGGCAGAGGACTGGACTACAAACAAGAAGTTGCATTAAAGTATCGTTAATGTTCAAGACTCTCACACTCAGCAGTTAGCTCCCAGCATCCCTTTCTGGGAAGAATCCCTCACTGGTGTGGTGCCATAGCACTTAGATGACAAAGCATAAGGAAGCAGGCATCAGTGACCAATGAGGAACTTGAATGGCGGAGCAATAGCAAGTCACAAAGCATGGAAGCCCCTTTCAATGGATACACTATATGACTTTCTCTAGTCCTTGGAATTTATTCTAACTAGTACCTAATAAACTTTATTTTCATAAGATACGGACATGAGCCACAATGTTATAGTCAAATAATCATATTTAAATGCTGTTAAATAACAAGCAAGACAACCAAGTAGGTGCTATTCCTTCCATTTTGCACTATTTAGACGTTCTCAGCAGCTTAGAAGCTCACAAGCTCCAACAGCTTATAAGCTTAACAAGTAATGAAGCTTCTGTCAAAATCAGTTATTAAGAAATTTATGCCTCTTACCAAAGTTAAAATTAGAGATTGAAGATGGAATAAAATGTCTTGAAATTTCTAAAGTGCTTGTAGGATGATTTAAATTAAAATTGTTCCCTTGTAAATTTTAGAAAGTGTGAAAAATTGCAAGACAATTTCTTTTTATGATTATTGTTGTTAGAGAAAATACTTCAAATGAATTGCAAGTAAAATTGTTATTGAACATAGCCTCTGGACTGAGTTCATTCTTTCAATCATTTTCTCTCTCATTCACTCTTTCTCTTTTCCTTTGAAATATTTTGAAGGCCACAATTTTAGACATCCTTGAAATTCTGTTTCGGATTCCAGGAAAAAAACATTTTTGCCTACAGGTAATATCTCGGGTTTTCTTTTTCTTCTGCTGCTTCTTTTCCTTTTCTTTCTCCTTCCTTCTAAAATGTTGATTGGTCACCTTAAAGTAGACCTCCTATTTAAGTGACTAGTAAATTCCTTAATTCATGCCTCACCAGTCTTACCAATTCTAGTTAAATTTTTTGCTTGTTTGTATTTTCCATCTGGGACATTTCCTATTGTAATCTGCATCTTGAAATACTAAAAGCTATATTTCAAATCTTTCCCTTTTTCCTGTGGATTTTAATAATGCTCTTGACTAAATCCACTTCTCAAATAATGGCTTCATAGCATGCAAAGTCTCTGTGTGTATGCCTGTGTGTTTTGAAGAACGAGCTGAGAAAAATGGTTAAGTATTTATGAGTGTGTGCTCTTGTTATGCTTTCCTGGAGACACAAGCAAAAAGATGGCCTTATGGTCATAATGTGATATGGTGAAGAGCAATGCATTGAAGCATCTTATTTATAAGGACATTTTACAGAGCAGGTGTTTAAAACAAGCCAAAAACATGAATTCATTCCTTCGCTCACTTGTTATTCCATTTCATTGTTTTTCTTTCATTTCATCGCATTCCTAAAGATAAGAAGTTTTCTTAGCTGGAAATAGTCTCTTACCAGCATAGTTACTGAGTCCCTTTCTCTTCTTTCTTCGCCAATACAACCAGATGCTAAAACCCATCAAAATTACCCAGCAGGCACCACCAATCCCAGCTATAAAGGCTGGTTGCTTCACAACATCGGTGATTTGCTCAGTTATGCTGTTATTGTTTTCAGTAATGACAACTTCATTACGTCCCCCTATGGAAGAAACAATAGTTTTAGTAAACATTAATACAAAAATAAACAGGAATACATACAGGGTATACCAAAGGCACAGAGAATTAGAAAATTCCTTTGAAGGCAGGTAACATTTGTTGGGTCCTGAGCCTGCCACAATTATTGATAAGCATATTTTATAAGTTTCAGAAGAAGAAGAAAATTATGAGTTTGAAATGTGATTAAGAACATTCCTCCTTTATGTTTTGACTTACTATGAATAGATTCTGAACTGCTTCTTGATTTATTGCCTTATAAATAAGTATTAATACAAATGCTAGTGGTTGAAATCATAATAACTGTTCTTCATCTAGGTAAAGCATGTTTTAATATAGTCTCATTAAAAGAAAAAAAAGCAACTACAATACTCAGCAAAGGGTATTTGCAAATTGTCTTCCCTCTACAGCACTGTACAAATTCAAATGTTCATGATTCAAAATATGCACCTTAATATTATCCTTAATATTCTACCAAGGAACTTATTTTGATCAAATGCCCTTTAACTTTCTGTAATGTATTCAAACTACTATATAAAACAATTACAATTATGGAAACATCCTTTCATAGAGATTAGTATCTATAATTAAAACGTCATGAAAGGATAAAACTCATGTATTCCCTTAAAGTATTGAAACTAATTTGAAAATCCACTTGAAAGCTGAATTCAAAAGACAATTTTAAAATTAATTCTAAGGCCTATGTAACTAAAACATACATTTAAATCTGGACTAAGATTATTCTAGAAGTAGTCATGTTTTGACAATTTAGATCTCTCAGAGATAATTAACAAAATCTTGATCCACATTTTAAAATAGGCTTAAAACTCATGGAATCATAACGTCTTTGAAGAGCAAAGATTTAGGTGTTTATTTAATAGATTAAGAAATTTAGACACTAAGAACTCAGTGATTTCTAATGTCAATATCATACCTCACTAATGACTAATCAAAGACTTTTAAAAAATAAATTGTACTCAAAATAGAAATGGTAAATCTCAGCATATCACAGCAAAGAAATGTGTGATTTTCAGTGTTTTAGTTATGATGGCACTGTAATATATTAGAAAGAGCATGGTCTTTGAAGTTCTGAGTCTGAATACCATCACTGCCACTTACTAGCTAAGTAAGCAGTAGGCTTATGTAAGGCATTAATCTTTTGGAGTATCTGTTTCTGTTAGTTGGCAACAGTATTGTCTATGTCACATATTTGGGAAGATTATTTGAGATGATGTATGTAAACAGGTCAATAGGAACAAAGTAGTTTGTGACTCATGATTATGGCCAATGTAAGGCTAAGGGTTACTTTACGAGCCTCTCAGGTAACTTCGGGGATGTAAGTTGTAAATTATCTAGATGTGAGAGTCCTACAAACCAAAGGTTACTTGAATACCACAGTTTCTCTTTTCTTCTTGGGCAGAAAATTAGGTTACATTTCCCAGACTCCCCCATAGTTACGCGCAACAAAGTGACTGAGTATTGGCCGATAGGGCATAGGCACAAATGATGCATTATGCCTTCAGACCTGACCCATACGCTGCTGTGACAATACTTAACACTTTCTCACTTTCCTAATGTGTTGGATAGAAACAAGGGATCTGATGGAGGATGCTCACCCCCTAAGAGACGGTAGAGTCACTGATGAGAAGACTCTCCGAATAACTGTATGGAGTAGAAACCCCACCCTCCACTCTGCTAACCCATATTAGACTGGACTATGAATAACAAAGAAACTTCCATTTAATTTAGCCAATCAGAATGCAGGTTTGTTTGTTAAAGCTGCTAGCATTTTCTTATCCATCCTTATCTTCCGTTTCTGCAATATCTTTTGTGTTAAATTCTAGATTTAAAAAACAGATTCACTTTTGTAGTAAACTTGGTTCATTTTCCCAATCTATCTGCCCTTGTTATACATTTAAAAATAGTAAAAAATGTTTTTATAATGAGCTATTTTCAATATGAGACATACACATATCTGGTGATTTTCCTAATTACTAGTAGTTACTAAAAAGAAAACAAACACTTTGTAGAACAAAGAGAAAAGAAAATTTGCCTTTCATTTGTGTAAAAGGTCCACAGAATATCATATTTAATATAGAGCAATATTTATGTTACCCAAGGTGTATTACTATTTCTTATGCTGCTGGTATTTTTGAAACAATGTTGTCAGTTGGACTAATTAGAGCATAGACAAGGGATGTGTGTGACCTGCAACGCTCCATTGTGCTTGCAGACAAAAAATATAATGAAATATAATGTCTTTCTCCCATAGAGAGTAATGAAGAACAAAACTAATTTGTTGGACTAAAAATTAATTAGACACATCAGATTCGATTGTACCTATTACTGTGAAAGTTTGCAGCTGTTCCACATGTTACCAACCTATGTAAGGTAAGCATGAAATGCTCAAATGATTAAAACAAAATAGCTATTTTATTAAGTAAGATTACTGAAAATTTTAAGCCAATGTAAATTTGGTATCTGGCATACTGCTTGGTGCTTATATATGTAAATGTATTTGGTTGCATTTTTGTGTTTGTAAGTGCAACAATATAGAACGATGGACACTTTCATGTAAAAGTCATCTCACCAGTGGAAACTATAGACAAAAGAATAATATTACTTTTAAGCCTATGTCAAACTGCTTATTATATTTATACAATATTTTAATTAATGATCTCTTAATGGAACTTTCTGGAATGAAAACTAAACTGAGAAGGAATAGATGAAACAGTACATGGTCTGGCATAAGACAAATCTAAAATTATCAGCCATAAATTATATCAAATGCCAATACATGATTTAATTAAGGCAAGGGGGAAACGAGGAAGAGCTTGAGACACTTTAAGTGCTGTTTCCAGTACTGAATAGATACTGAATAGATAGCGAAAGCATAAACTGAAACATAAAAGGAGATTAGCCATCACTAAATCAATTTTCAACTAGGGAATAACAGTTGTGTAGATAAGGTTATCACACAAGATGTTAAGGTAGATATTCAGGGGTAATTAAAGAAACAATTAAAGGCTTCTTCAGTACAACGGTAGGTATTAAGAAGAAATAAATCTCTCACAGACAGTCTTTTCTGGGTTGAATTGGGCTTACATGTGTGTATGCATGTGTGTGTATGTGAATGTATGTTTTCCAAGTGGTAGAATTCTGTTTGATTACATCTTGAATATTGCATATTTTAACTATTTGAATAGGACGTAAGAATATCATTTATTAGATTTTTTTTACTTCAGCGAGAAATTTGAAAAGAATTTTATAATACACTAAACAATAAATTAAAAGGTACTCATTATCCATTTGAAGATTCTTAGTTTTTTCAAAACAATAGAAGAGTTAAGGAAAACTTTCTATTTGATTTAAAATAATCTAAATTAACTTTATTATTTTGTTACTATACAGTTATTAATTCTTAATTGCCATGACATGAGCTTGGTTAAGTGATATTCTTGAAGTTTTTTTACCTGCTTACAAGTGCAATACATCTCCAAAATCTTGTGGAAAAAAAGTTACTCAAAAACAAAAAAAAGAAAACTTTCCCTTGCTTAAGAACTTTAAGAATAATATTTATTACTAAAGACACAGTAATAAAAAAAAGAAAAATGGAAGGGAAACATATATACTTGGCACTCATCTATGAGTAAGAAAAATTATATTCAGTAAATCCACTTTACATATATGCTAGAAAGATAGTAAAAAAAAAACCTTTGTTTACTTATCTAGGAGCTCTCATAGAAAACTATACTTTTTAAATATGTTTCATGTTTAGTTTTTTTAAGTGGAAATTAATGGCTTATTTCTAAATACTATAAATGGAATATATACATATGTGTCAGTTAAATCCTTTTGGGTGCACCTGTATTTCTTTCTTATTCCAATTTATTTTAGAAAATCTCAGAAGAGCAAGACTATAGGTTTCCCTCAGGTTAAGAAATTAATTCAGTCTGTATGACTAATTAAGAAAGGGAAGGCAATTTAAAGGAAAGTTAATACTATAACTTTTTCTCTTTAATGCTTTTAATATACAAAAGATAGAAAACTTGGAGAGTCTAAAAAATTTTAACATTATGACAGAAGGTTAAGTCTATTCACATACAATAAATACTTTGTACTAAGAAACAATTTCCCAGAAATTGGCAGTGTGTTCTGGGCATCAATCCTGAAAATAAACAGAAAATAGTGGAAACGACACATTCACTTCATCAAACTCTGGACAAATATTTTTAAAATATGTAAACTCTGGGAAGAATATTTAAAAAAATTAAAAACACAAGCAAATAAAAGCAGAGAGGACCGAAGGGATTTGCCTCTGGAAAGAAGGGAACTGCACGGGGGGAAACCTGCACCTGTGAGACTTTTTTCCCCTTAGAGATCTCGACCCATGTGGCTTTAGGCAGCTAGAATCCAAGTGGAAAACCTCAATCTTATTGGGATGAGGTGTCAAAGGATAGAGTTCAGAGCTGCTAGAGTGACTGAAAATTGAAGGGGAGACCATGTGAAAAAGCCACAGGAGAGTGATGTTCCCAAACTCATGTATAAATTCTCCCTCAATCTTAGGGTGAAACCTGAACTGTGAATGCAGAAGGAAGATCCCATGGATCTGGTAGAAAACAAAAGCTAGAAGGCTGGAAAGGCTGAACAGACTTTTTAGTTGATGTCCACTGCAGAGAAGATGGTGTTTGAAGTTTGAATTTCCTCAAGTTAGGAGGAGCAGATAAACACATTATACTTTTCACTGAAACCCCGGGAAGGTCATGCCTTAGACCTAAAGATCAAACTGAGGTT